TTGACTGGTAAGAAATTTGGATTTACACTAAAGCAGGAAATAAACAGATACATGTACAGTCAGGAGGTTTTCAGTAGAAATGACTCCACTGGAACAGTCAGCTCCAAGTCAAAAGCCAAGTGAACTGTCAGTCACTCTGTTTGATGCACATTCTGGTCTTCAATCATCCTAAAGCTGTCACACACAACCTATGGGATTTATCTGAGGGATGCAGCAGCTTTGAGTGGAATAAACTAATAAATCCACATCTACTAAGCACATCAGCTTTAAGATTCTTACATTCTAGTCTTCCCTTCGTCAATGTGACTGTTAGCATGACTAGTCTGGTAAAGATATATTAACATGGATGACAAATAAAACTGAATAATTTCTTGCTGTAGCACCTCTCAACATCTGTGCTTGGAAAAAAAAAAGATGGTAAAGGCAATAAAATACGTACGCTGTATTCTGTGATATTCAGCCAATCCACACTCAGAATGATGATAAACACTCGGATGCCAGCGGATTGTCTCAGTGTGACTGGTCATTACTGCTCGCAGAGGCTTTCACAGCTGCATTAATTATATTAATCCTTCAAGAGAATGAAATCCCTTGTGACAGGGAGAACATGTGAAATCAGGCTATGTGTGAAAGGTTGATTATCTTGGCCACCAGTTAAAAGGCCCCTCTACTCTGTAGGATCAATAAAAACAGAGGTTGGTCTGAGATAGTAATGTATTTCTTTATGGAAGATTTCCTGGAGCACTCATCGCTCAGACAATGAACAGACAGCACAGCGCAGAGCAACGTTCACTGTGAGCTTTCACTGTTGAGGAAGTCTAAGCTGCAGCTCCACAGTCTGTGCCTCCTCTCCTGTAGCCACCTCTTTGGTTTTTTGCTGTGGGGGGTTTTCATTCTCTGCCACCCACCATGTGAATAATGAGCTCCACAGATAGCAGCCAACGAAGCAACCCCCCCTTTGGCCAATGAAACTTAACAACCATGTCCAGATCAGGTCCTTCCTGCTGGGACTGACCAGCCCTGCTTCACACTCCTCCGCCACCCACACACACGCTCAACCACACTGCCTCAGTCTAGATAAAATACTAAAAGAAAGGCTTCACAGAAACTACGGATACCTGACTTTGCATGGTCTCCACCACCACAGAATTCTTCCTCATATATATGAAGTGAGAAAATCAATAAAGTCAAACTTGCTTAGACTGTTTCCCAGATTTTACACTCTGCTTAGCAGCTACACTGACGCTGTCCACTCGAGAGGCTGATTTCTAGTCCAGCTTGCTTTGAGGTGTTGGTGCTGGGAATATGGCTAACACAGACAAATGTCTGGCCTCAACATGACCAAAAGGTGCTTTGAAGTCTGTCTAAGCACCTAAAAAAACCCAGCCGTTCCAAGCTGTAAAGTGCCAGCCGCCACCCGCTTTATCACATTTTTAGAGTGCCTCAAAATATACTAGCTACAGCCAAAGAAAAGATGATCATACAAGCCTTGTAAACTGCACTGACACACACTGAAATCCTCAAGTGAAAGCAATGTCTAAAGTACGTGCTGTTATTTTTGGTTTGTTAATTAAGATTGAAAAATGAGGTGGTGCTTCTGAGTTCATTTTACAGTTTCAGTAGATCCTAAAAATAACTGATGGGGAAGTTTGACCATTTTATTTTGGCGTGAGAAAATGTGGGGGTTGGGAGAGGGGATTGACAGTGGGCTTTGAAAGACACTTTGAATGAGACATAGTAGCATTCCACTGATTGTTATTCAAGCAAACTGCTCCAAAGATTCCAACACATGAAGACGAAGGCACATTTAATCTAAGAGAGTAAACACTTCTTGTGCTGGTATGTGCGGTGTGGTGTGTGACAGGTAGAAAGAGCACTTTGAGATGTCTATGAAAGATGTGCACAGCTCTGTCAAATGGCAACAGTGCTTCTTTCTAATGCTTTTTCTTTAACCCTTGTTAAATAAACTGCAGCAACATGGTTGGTTTAGAGAAACGTTAAGTCAACATCCTAGTGCTTACAGATGGTATTACAGATTTGTGGTTTCATTTCTTTCAGCTAGGTGACTAAATCTAATTCATTGAGATATCCATGTCAGTGGTACAAGGTACAGTGATTTTTTAAAAATGACCTGGATGTTCAGTGTATTTACAATAAACTACAGTTTCTTCCTCTGGAGTTATAAATGATGGATCGGTTCGAATGACTCACCACAGGCCAACTTATCCAGGCATAATGCACATGTCCTCTCTTCTCTTTCTTTCCTGAACAAAGTTTTAGCAATGAAGTGCACCCTTTCAGTGCAGACCAGCATTTAGCTGCCTTAAGTCAGTCCTAACATTTGAGTTGGAGCCTGGATTGCACCCATGGGGAAGGCAAAACCTGCTAATATCAGCCATGCTCTGAATATGGAAAGCATCTTGGCTGCTTCTGCACATTCTCCATTGCACATGCACAAAACCTATTTTCTTTGCACCAGCAGAAAAAGAGAACACCCTCGAGTTTTTAAAACTTTCAGGGAACACATCCAAACTTGTGAAGTAGGAAGCTCTAACAGTAGGGAGAGAAAATGACAATAGCTTATAGAAATGCCTGCTGTCTGTTTTCTTGGCGTCTCCCAGCTGCAAGGAGTTTATCTGCTGGTCCAGTGGCATGGTAATGACTCTGCTGGCTCTCCAAATGCCACCTCGCTGTGCTCTGGAGAGAGGGCAAGCAGGTTAATTACCATGACAATAAGGCCACTGAGAGCGGGGCCGACTCTGGACGCTGCATACGAGATGACTGGGATGACTTTCTCATTACAAATGAAAACAGGAGGCTTTGATTTACTAAAATGTAGACAGATGGATGGGGTCACAGCATCTTTGTCTAAATTATTAGGCAGCCTGTTCTCTCATTTTCTTCACAGACAGGAAGCACAGAGCTCTGGGTGGACAGAGCTTCTTCCCTAACGCACTCCCCGGGAACCACTGCCTTTGTCTCTCTGTTTGACTCTTTGCTTGTTCATGAAGTGAAGAGGCTAATCAGTGGCTGCAGAGCTTTTCACAGAGAGCCACTGTACAGCATGGGTCCATTTGTTAGAGTGGCCACAATAGCTCTGTTTTTTTTGTTCATGCAAGTCACTTATGTGAACGTTAAGTGTGGTGTTGTTTGCTACCAAAATACTGACTTCTGGCTACAGCTAAAACTTCACCAATGCAACCAAAACCCAGTACACAATTAACTTAATTAATTTCAGAGAGCTCTTGAAATGATTTGGAAAGGCACATTAGCAAAAGGCCACAATTGTACAGTAGCAACACAAGCATATCATTATTTTTAAGGGCTTACACCAAATCCATCCTCAATTGTTTACAGCCTACAAGTAGGATAAAGAAGCGCTAACTGACATGTTTGCTATAGCAGAGAGAACAAGACACCCTTTAAAGAGTTTTTGGACATTTACAGAGTTTCAGCAATGTTAGCTGGTTGATTATGAAAACAGTATGCTGTGCTTAGACACGCAGCCAGCAAAAGCCTTCTTCAAACATAAAACTCTGCCGAATGACATGGGGAACAACGACTGCCAAGAGCTGATGTTGGCCATGACACTGGAAAGGAGGCTTCACAGCATTGTGGTGAAAACAAACAAAAAAAGGTTTGCCTTCTTGAGAAGCTATACATTAACATTAACAGATGAAATATGTAGAAGAAGACATTTTTTTTTGCCTTAACTTACTGCTTTGATATTAACTACCAAACCATTTCTGGCCTTATTGTAGAAGTGATCGACTTTGAAATTTTCATACAGGTTAGAACACATTCACTGATGTTGATACTGCCAAATAGAGTAGGGAAATAATCTTTGCACTTGTAGATGTAGTAGAATGTCCAAAGCACAATAGCTCTGTTGTATCCCAGGCAAATGCAAATTGCCAAGGAAACAATTTGAAATTCAAAAAAGGAATTCAGAAATCAAACACAAAGGGTCATATTGCAAGGCAGTTGATACTAGACACTGATTGTGATTAATACGTCCTGCACACCAAATGTGAGGCCATGCTAAGTAAGCAATGCATAAAAAATGCAACCGCTTTTTTTTTTGTTTTCCTGAATTTACAATTAATCAACATCTGTGCAATACTGCCCAAATTCTCATTATGCATTCTTTTCTAAGTACACATGTGAACTTACTTTGAGAAAAGCCAATAAATATATGCAAGGGTTACGTCAAATATGCCATCACCTGTGCCTTCTGCATTTTATTTTGACAAATTTTTGCAGCATGAAGAAAAACCCTGGAGAGAAAAAACAAACAGATGCACACCTGCATGAAAGGGAAAACCATCCTCTTATGAGTCCTCATGGCTAACAGCCTTAAATCCTGGTGTCACGGTCTGTGTGTGTGTGTGTGTGAGGAGGTGAGAGACAGCTACAGAGAGCTTTGTTCTTATTTCTACTTAGACCCTGGCTCTACTAGCATTTCATCCTTCATACTTCAGCTCCATAGTGTCTACGGACTATACAGTAACCTCTGAGAGTCTTGTCAACAACTCCAGGATAGTCTGATAGAATATGTCAGCACCATCTTTTCAGAGGAGCTGTCAGCACCAGCTTTGTATCAGCCTTCTGCAGGACAGGGCACAAAACACAAACAAGCAGTGCAGGAGGTAACCATAAGGCATCCTTCTGAAATTCCAAATGATAAGATTATTAAAAACAATCATTCTCTGCTTTCATAAATTGATGGGAAGGTCTTCAAATCTTTTTAAATTGTTTTTAGTTGTATCCATTTAAACAAGTAAATAAAATCGGTGAAAGTAGGAGCAATCTGAGTAAGGACTAGCTGAAAAGAAAAGCATTTTTCTCTGTATAGTCTATGTCAACAGAACTCAAAGCAATTCCTGCAGGCATGACAAAACCAGTCCTGTCGTGACTTATGCACTTTATGTTGCATTATCCTCTAATAATGCATGTATGTGGCATGTGTCTCATTCATGAAAGAAGAGAATCCACACTACCTTAGAGCACTGCTTGTGATTCTGGCACCACACCAAGGATCCATTATTCTGTAGGAGAGAAGGAAAACTATCATTAATCATCAGATGTTGTTGAAAATGCATTTATGAAAATGAATTCATCAACTAAACATGTAGCTTTGACCTTCCCCTCTCCAATCGCAATATACCGTAACACTGCTTTCTTTAAGTGGTGGCCTTTTAGATTAACAGTAACACTAACAGACACATTTCAGACTGATTTGATTCTGCTTTGCGTGCTGAGGACGTGTAACCTTAGCAGGAAAGTGGGGTCGTCAGCACCAGGCCAAACCTCTGGTCAGTTTCAGCAGAGTCTGTTGACCTCAGCTTTTCTGAGGACCTGTTTGATCTCTCAACAGACGTCCCCGAGGTCACCGAGTCGGGAACTGATGTCAGCACTCCCGAGCAGACTGCAGATCCTGCCAATTTTCTCTAATTGCTGTGGAAGTGCCACCTTCTGTGCTCAAATGAGGCAAACATTTGGTCCTAATAGTGCTGTGTATTTATAAATCCTCTGTGTAAATATGGAGAGTTGTCAAGTGAAGGACCAGTGGGGGTAAATGGCTTGTGCAAGTGGTCATTTCCTGAATTCCATTAGGCTGGAGAATTATGCTGTCATTCTCAGCAAACCATAATTGTACTTGGACGACAAGTGCAAGGCTAGTGCTTCAGAATAAATGACCAGCTGATCAACATGAAACAGACCAAATGTTTAAATGTGTGTGTGTGTGTGTGTGCTGTGTGTTAGCTCAGTGTTTTAAAATTGCAATATAGCCAACTGCAAGCAGATAAAAATACTGTGAACATATCATCAACCTTTAAGTTGATATGGTAAACCTGGTGCCTATACACATCTAAATGATACTGAGCAAAATTAGTATTAATATCAAGTCAGCTTTTTGATTAATGTAACTCTAATATTCAGTGTTCACTGGTCTCTACCAACACTTGGGAAACATATTTGGCTACTAAATGATCCACAGTGTTCACAAGTTAGTCGCTAACTTTGTCTGCTGTTGTTTTGGTGAGGAGCAGGTAGCGTACAGTCGGGTTGCTGAGTTTTTTTTATTTTATTTTTTTTTTATTAAAAGCATTTGTCTGCTCCTACTGTAATTTTTAGTTAGCATTTTAGATCAGTGGGAGAGAATGAACCAAAACAATCAAGTTATGGGCTGAAAACCAAAACAATGAGTTGAAAGAAGCTATAGAGCTCCACAAAGCTGAGGGGAACAGCAGAGCCGGATCATGATTCTGTTGGTGTTCATTGCTCCAAGCAACACCTTTGACAAATGCAAATATTCTCAAGTGAGGCTCTGTGTTTAGTTTTGCATTAAAGCTACTCTGCCTGATTTCTAATGACACTCAAACCAACTAACCCCATAATCTGCTCCTAACAGCTCTTAGCCCGTCCTCTCATATGTTGTTTCCTATTGGCAATGTAAAATACAAATGCTTGGTTGTGACAAACTCCAATCCAAAACTAGTGTTAGCTGACTAATTTATATTTTTGGCAATCCAATTGGTTTGCTAATGTGACATGAGAAATTAATATCATGTTAATCGTGCCAATGCTACGTCACTATATTACCAAAACAAACACATTAGCTTTAGATGTAATGCATCCGGAAAGATGAACGCCACATCTGAATCTAACATGAGTCCTTTGACTGCTTTTAACTCTCTCCAACTCAAAAAGCTGTTTGAAATTACTTCTCAAGGTTCAACAAACACTTCTAACCTTCACTAGGTGGCAGGCGGGACTAATTTACAGACCAGACCTGGAATAACAAGAGAAGCATGGTCGACAGCAGTGTTGTGGAGGTTGTTAGGATAGCAGAGAAACACCATATCCTCTCCCATTTTTACTTGATTTATCAGGCAATGTAAATAATAACATCTAAAATGAATGCACCTTTAATGAAATTCTTTCTAGTCAGTGACCTAGACTGAAGCTTCAGTTCTGGATGTTGGGTGTGCTTCTCTATTCAGGCAGTGAAGCAGTAGGTTAGAGCCAAACTTTAGGGTTCTGCAGGAAAAAAGTCTGCTTAAGTTCAATGTCAAGTTCAAAGCTTTTTCCCACAATGTAATCCAGAAGAAATTTCCCATGAGACCTTAGGAGAGAACTTATCATTAAAGGGTTTAATTTGACATACAGTACCAGTTAGTGCTGTGCTTTTAGTGTCAAGGAAAATGGCCAAATGGCTTCAAAGGAATCCATGATTGTGCGGTCATGTCTTCAGAAAATCTCTTCCACAAAAAAACTGCAGATAAGGATGAAAAATATACGAGGCTGAGTCCTAAGGAGACACGAAAAAGTTGTTTCATTTTGTTACCTAATGAAGTGGAAATGAGAAGTTTAGTGTGCATCAGCAGGTTTTCTGACCTTTTGTGTAAAATAGAACACCTTCACTCTAATTGTCTGAATGTGGAGTAAAATAGGAATTATTCCTCGGTGGTGTAACATTTTGTGCTGTACCACATGATTAAAATCCTTGTGGAGTTCACTAACTTATAAAAAGGGCTTCAGTCCAACCAAGCCAACCCGCCTGATGGTGACACCCAGTAAATAAAAGCTTACACTTGTAGCCAATGCCTCAGGATAATTTATACAGATTGTCACAACTCTAGACCACGTCCTAAATCATCAGTCCCGTTTTTGACACCTTCCTTCACCCATCTATCAGCAGTGACAGAGACAGATCCACAGAGAGGCTAATTTTGCTGTGTGACAGCATCCATGTAGCAGAGAAGCTCAGCAGGATGTTGCCCCAGCTGTCCAGGGCTGACCCCACCATGTCAGGGACCAACAGGGGAATAATTATAGGTCAGGACTTCATCTCTCTGACTCACTAAGGCATTCCTCTGCAGTCTGAACATTATGCAGCGCTGAGGGCTGTCAAGGACTCCAATAAATGAATGCTTTCCAGATATCCTCCTGTGTGACTATAGGGTCGAGGAGAGAAGGCCAGACAGTGGTCAGTGACTGTGTGACTGAGGTAAACTCGCTGCTACTTTGTTAGTAACACCAGTGGAGTCATGTAAACAGAAAGACACACTGTGACTGAGAAGCCAGAGCAGGTGGCCAGGGGCATGTTGCATTGTCTCGACAACTGAGAGGAACAAGAACAAAACCCCTTTCATCTCTGAGGCTAGCATTCCACCTTTTGAAAATGGAAATCTTTTGTTTCCTTTAGGCCTCTGATTTGGATTAAACGGATCTCAGTTTACATTGGTGAAATGGTTTTGAACTACACTTAATCTTGCCTGTATGTTTTCCAGTGTGTTAAACTACTGGAAAATACTGCATGTCTTTGAGACTTTGTACAAGTTAACAGGAGGCAGGACTTCAAAGGACAGACTGGTGTCTCTGTGTTTCCTTTGACAACTCAAAGTTCCTCAGGCAACACCAAAATAACTTCTTCTAAAGGGCACATGCGGCACTAAAATAAAGGGCCTCAAGATTTGAGGTTTTGACCTGAGCGGGTGTGAGGGCTGTGGTCATCCTCCTCATCAATTATTCACTTTGTATGAATTATTTGACAGGAGTTCTGAAAGTGAGCCAATGTGTTCAGTGACATCCAATATTAACAGAAGAGGGTTTCTTCGGAAATCTCAAACAACACCGGTGTAAGATTGTCTCCACTTAGGAATGAAGGCTATTTGTCAGATGAGGTAACTCAGGCATCACTTGGGATTGAGATTTACAGACCGGACTGTCATGGTTTAAAAGCATTTACAGAGAAGGGACGCCAAGCTACATAGACCCCTATTCATCCGCTGTCTTCACTAATGAAAAACTCCACACATGAGACGAGCACTGGCTGAGGTTCGATTCCACCGCATGTTATTTAATATCAAAGGCGAAAACAAGGGGACACGGAAAAACTACTTTCCAGTGTTTTTCCTTCCCTTCTCCTGAAACACAAATCTCTCCGGCAAGATGCTTAGACTTTACTGCACAGCACAGCACATCAGAAATGAATGGCTGAATTTAAAATGTTGGCTTTTTATTGCTTTGAATGTAATAACAAGGCTTCGTGGCCACACCTTGTTTTTGGCTTCACAGGTCCACACATAAATAATCCACTACAAGGCCAATGCTTTCAGAATACATTACTGCACAGGGCTCCCAGCTCGCTCTTAATATTTAGAGTATACGAGACTTATATTTATGGTTGGGCATTACCCTATATCTATTGTTCTGGGGTGACAAGTTCCCCAGCAGTGGAGTAAAATGTCAATAAATCAACATATGGAAATCCTGTTACATCAATAAATTTACAACTGGCATAAATCTGACAACTAACCCAGTGGATTTCCTAACTCTACATCTCTTATTATTATTTAATGGAATTGAATTATTTCCATTTCATGCTAATTCATGATTGTGACAATTACAACAAAGTTTCTGACTGGTCCTCTGACTCAGACACACACAAAAATGGAAAGAAGTATGGGTGTTCAGTACAAGAGCTGAATTCTCTAAGTATCATTCCAGTACACAGAATGGTCTAATTAAAGTTCATTTGAAAAACAGAGTTTTACATTCCAGCTGTAAAAGTTGTTAAAATGACAATTTGTCTCTTGTACCATAGCCAAAATAAGCAGCGGACCATAGAGATTACAAGACACTGACACAGTAAAATATTAAGAAACAGTAGGCAAAAGCCACTGCATTGACATTCAGCCCAGACATTTCATCTCCATTAAAATGGAATGTGTTATATGTCTTGGTCTTCCTGTTGAGTATTAAATGGCCCGTGAAGGATGTACGAGCTGAATTAAGCGGTTTGTCATCTCAATCAATGGAGTGGAGGTGTGAGCTGCCTGTCACCTTGTTGCTGTAATAAGATCTGGCAGAGGAAGCATATCCACCTGTAGGTTGTGCTGACTGAGCATTCTCCAGCATGGTGGCGTTAGAGTTGATCACATTTAGCATATTTGGCCCCAGCTTTTAGCAGGAAGGGGTCCCCTGGTAGCTCAATGTGTATCCTCATGCCTGTGAGGTGTGATGCCGGCAATTACTGGCATGGCCAGGGGGTAGAGGGCGGTGGGGAGGAGAGCCATATGCTCTTGCAGCTGACATGACCCCTCCTCCCCCCAATTTTCACATGAAAGGACTATAGAGAACACAATGCATAAGACAGTCCTTGCAGATTATCAACAAATGCCTTCTATTCTTAGACACGCATGCTTGCTCAAGCAACCCTGCTTATCACTAACCACAAAAATACCCCTCAGTTTCGACAAATACCTCCCTCTCATTTCCCCTCAGTGAATAAGGCTGCCTCAGACTCAGAGGCTCTGCAGTCAATTATATCGACTATTAGCTCTTCATTAAAAGTGAGACTTCCATCAGTTATTTAACTTCTCACTTAGCTGGTGACTAATTTAATTCTACATCTTGGCAGCCCAGAAGGTAGCAATATACTCTTGGAATCCTCTCAGAACCAATCCCTATCGCCACTTGCCAAGCTGCGCTTTAAGAAACACAGTTTTTAATTCGTCTTCTTAGGACGCACAGCTTTACTAGTTTTCTGTCCTGCTGGGATGTTAATTGCAATTAACTGCATTCATACTTCACTCCAGTTATATTTTATCCCTTAATAATAAAATTGTGAGAATTAAATGCAGCGGGTCTCTGTCCCAGAGAGGAGCTGCACTGCAAACCACTGCACTAGATGGAGATCAATAATTGTTTTCAAAGTAAGGGTAACTGGTGACAAAGAAACAAGCAATGCACTTGATTGCAATGCATTTGATTCATCAAACATAATTACAAATGTACTTTGCGCCACAATGTTTCCTGACATTTAGGAATTCGTTAATGCACCTTGAAAAAGACAAGCCTTGTAAATGCAAATGAAGTGAGCATAAAAGCAGCCACCAGATAGTATGCCTGGTGAAAGGAAGCAGAGAGGAGAAGGATCAGGGACCATTCCTTTTCTCCAGAGTCCTGGGAGAGAACAGTGTGTCCAGCGGAGGGTGAAAAACAACTTCTGACACCAAATCATCCAAGGAGGCATAGCTTCAAACAAGGTCTGCATCACAACATGCTTGGTGGGGGATACTAGTGTAAAATTCTCACTATGGATATCTAAGGCAGCGGGTTGTCTCATAGGACAGGAGCAAAAATATCTTAATAAGTGTGAAACAACAGCAACTAGTTACATGCATAGAGTCATGACAGGAGTCCATCACATTTGTGCAGAACAGAACATTTATCCTATTTGCCAGTAATTAGCAAGTAGTGAATGGAAACCAGGCATCCAGCATCTCTTAGCTTAAAACACTGCAGTGTTAATTAGATATAGCCCATTTTCAAGCGTCAACTCAACCCACATACAGTAGGTGACCAGTGATGTACCTATAGTCTATACTGTATGTGGCAGCTGAACGCTTCCTATAGATGCTTATATAGCGTTAGTGTTTATATTTCTGTGACACTATCCATTTAGAAAGGTCTCACTTCTTTGTCAGAGAGCATTCCTGACAGAAAACAAAACTAAGAAAGTATTCCAGCACCACTGGTAAGCTGCTCTCCTCTGCTCACAACGGGATCAGGAGAAACAGGTCTGACTTGGGATGGCTCGCACATTTTCATGAATGTAGTGCTACAACCCCGGGTCTGTTTCTGATTTTTAACACAGCACCAGGAGTTTGGGTGACCGCGACCACATGCTCGTACCTGGGAGTGCTTGAAAAAAGCAGAGATGCGAGTGATGTGCAGACTGAGGCATCTCGAGGCGCATCTTGCTCGGTAAATACTGGCAGTGAAGAAAGAGTCGTCCTGTTTCCTCGCGGACACACTTTCCGGGCTCGTTAACGCTGTAATCCATAAACACAGTGTCACACATACGTTCAGGCTCCTAGAAAACATGGTTCCACGGTTGTGTATTTAATCTCTCCACGGACCGGACAACACTGCGCGCAGGCTCCACCGGAGAAACTAAAGAAACTTCAATTATTCGTTGGGGAGGAGTCACGGCCTCACGTAGCCTGTGATTGGAGGATCCCACGTTGACTGACAGACACGAAGAGCGTTAAAGCAGGTAAATGCTCATAGCCCTGCTCACTAAAGGCGTGAGCGCGTTGACCTGTGCGCACGGAGGGAGACAAGCGTGCGTGAATGAAACTTGTGGTTTTTAATCATAGCTTTAATATAATCAGAACTTGTAATGAGATGAGTATATATGGATTTAAATACAACATAGAAACGCACAACGAACGTTATGTTTACTATAATTACATACACAAACAGCATTTTGTAGTGCAGTAGTGCACAATTTGCTAGGCAAAGTGCACAGCTTTACTTCATCCAGTCTCTATTCTCAGACGTAGTTTATATTACATTTCCACCACAAAACTGGATCGGCTCCTACATTTCCCATAATACAACCCGAGATTGTCTTTTATAAATCCCCCTGTGCCCACATCCTTCAAACTCCTCTCTGCCAGTTTGTAACACAGGCTTTCTGAGATAACCCCGATGACATTATCAAGGTTATGAGTTCAGTCTTTGGGGAACTCCCTCCAGAGCTGGAGAGGACATCATGCAGCTGTTTTCTCAGTTCAGTAGCACTCCTCAGGACGAGTAAAACCTGTGTGAAAGACTGTTGGAAATGTTACTTAATGGTAACTGACTTACTCTTTTACATAGGACTATATGTACAATGTATAAAATGATTTAAATGAGCAGTAAAAATGTATATTCTGTGCTTTTTAAAATTTATTTATGGATTTATTTGTTGTATTCCTCCCTTATTTTCACGTATGCTCCAATTAGTGTGCTAACCTCATACCTAAATACAATGTGCAAAGTGCAGCCACATAAACACCTGTTTATTGTATTTTGTGCAGAAGGGTTAGACCTGCCACCTACTAATGACACAACTCATCAAAAATGTAAAGCAGACAGGTTCTGTGTATCACACTCTCACCTATGGCCATGGTGAAGCTTGCCAGCATCACAGGGAAGCCCCCTTTTTTTTAGCTCCCATGTTCAAATTTCACAGTAGCTTGTAAAAACAATTCTACATGGAAAACTACTAAGATCATCTAAATTCCTCAAGGTGGACTCTCAGCCTCTGGTATCAGTCCATGGCCTCAGGTACAAGGAAAGTATGACATGTAGGAAAACTTGGAAACCCTTGTTGTTTATTGGGGTTTACAAGACGCCCCTGTTTTTGCCAGCTTGTATACTGTAGTACTTCCCTGAACCCCATTACAGCAGCATAATGAAGTTTTATAGGTGCTGTTCTCAAACTGTATGCGGTGTGGGAATGAACATACACCTAAACACCGTTATTAGATTTGGCTTAAGTCACTGCTTCAGGCCAATTATGCATCAAATGCCAAATATTTTGACCAGTGCCTCACCACTGTAACATGCCCATGTTAGCACATCCTGAACAACAGACATTGTCTCCACCAGTGATGGGGAACATGAAATCAACCTCAAAATTCCTATCAGGCACAAAGTCCTGTGTCATTCATAAAAACCTCAACATTCTGTTGAGTGAAAGCAAACCACAGTTATGAGAGCACTAGCCTCTTGTGCTTTTTGTGTGTGTGAAAGTATGGCTATGCATCATACAAATCATTTCACAGCTCCCTAATGGTAGGATGGATGTGCATTCGTTTCCCTGGTGGTCTCAGACAAACAATGTAACTCGGGATGAAAGATCCCTTGCTATGCTTAAATATTTAAAGACTGATGTTTGTGTACCTTAAATACAGCATAATAGCTTAATTTGTTGGCTTGTTACAGCCATGTGTGGTGAGGCGTGGGTTTATAGTGCATTGTGAAGGAAGTACACTGTCTGTGTGCGGTCCTGATGTCTCCTGCAGCCTGCGGGACATGTTTCCCTCCGACGCCATACTTTGAATAACTGGGGAAAGCCTCTGCCAATTGTGAACTCAGACTGTAAAGACAGCATATTTGTATGACTGGATTTCATTTCTAACTCACATCACAGCAATAAATTACACCTGTATTTACAATGCGTCTCCAGTAGCAACATATGTTTGCCAACTGGCTCATGAGCAAATAAAACAATTATAGAGCAAAACATTCAATGTTGTGGATTTGTTTTTTTTCTTTCAAGGTGCATCCAGTCTTCATAACTTGTAACTGGTTTAGAGGATAGTGCTAAAAGTTGTCCATTGCTGCCATTTTAATTTTTAATCTTCAGTCACCACTGTTACACTTATCCCATCACCCACCACTGCCTTTAATGAAACATTTCTGTGATCTGTGAAGTTCATTGTGTCCCCTCTCCCACATTATCAAACTTAAAGAGAGAATCAGTATCTCCAGGCTCAGCACTAACCAAAAATTCATAGAATATGTTATTTTTAGCTCAAGAGCACCCTTGGTTACACTGCAGCGTCTTCTGACAGATGATTGGATATGTGTGGCGAGGGATTGGCTACGTTCCCAGAACTGTAGAGAGGTGGGTTTTTGTCACGTGATCTGACAAAAGGCATCTCAAAGGAAAACACTCCAGTGTCAGTTTTCAGCCTGCATACTCCTGAGAAAGAAGGTGTGTGGCGATCAAACACACGAGCATCTTTGATGCTTATAGGTGCAGGTGGACTCACAGTTCACACTTTTCATGAGAGGCCACCGGGATCAGAAGAGACAACCAGCTTTTGTTGTGAACATTAGCAAACAAAGGATGGGATTGGTTGTGAAGGATGAAAGCAGTATTCCAACATGAATAACTTTAGTATTATGGACCAAAAGTGCAGTGATTATGTAGACGTTAGCTTGGATTTAATGTTTTGTCGGTGTATTTATGAAATAAATGACTCTTCCTCCATCATTTGAAGATTTGTTTTATTCGTGTAAGTAATCAGTGTGTTCAAAAAGGGGTCACAAAATAAATGAGCATATAAATGTTTGTGATGGTGTTGCCTTTATTTAACACCTGCTACAAAACAAGTCAGTACTAATGCAGCAGTTGATTAATCACCTTTCATCATGTGACTAGTAATGAAAGGCCCAGAAAAAAATAGTCAATTTGATCATTATTATTGTTTATTGATCATCTTTGATCTTTTTACTGGGTAAGTCAAAAATATAAGTGTTATGGCAAGACACAACTGCATAATCAGGCCTGAACGAAGGGAATATATTAAACCCAGTCCATGTTGTTCATGCTCCTGTCATTTTATTTGAGATTTAACCGGAGCAAGTTGATTTGCATTGCAAACGTGTAAATTATTCCATTCCATTTGCAGGTATTTATTTATTTATTTGTTTGTTTGTTTGTCTCTTTCGTCTCTTGCCTAAAAGAGAGGGGCTAATATTTATTTAGCCTGCTGTATGCTTTATAATTTCAATTTAGCTGTGCCAATCTCTACATTGTCTCTAATTTGGTCAATAATGTGATGTTGCTTTTTTATTTTGAGTCTTGCCTGTGCACTGATATCATTTCAGAATACCACCCTTCGTGTTTTTCGCTCTAAATAGCTGTGTCACTGATACAAATCCTTCAGTTAAACAGAAACGCTTTGGTCTATTCATAATTTCAAGCTTATTTCACTGCTGTGGTTACAAGAGTTTCTAACATTCCCAGTGAAAATATTTGTCCTGCATATGAGGTTGGAAAAACTTACCATGGAGGACTTCTAAATAGATGCTTGCCTGAGATATTTTCCCTCTTTCGCCACGTTCTAAAACAATGCAGCGTTGTGCAATGATGGGGCATGATAGCGGAGTGCGAGCTGTTTTTCCCATATAAACCACCCACACAAAGATAAAGTTACATGTCGGTTTTAGTTTAGACAGCGATGGTTGACTGACAGCTGAGTATCCCTCAGTGGTTGTTTGCAGGCTGGATGATAATAAATGCACCTTTTTAAATGGTGGGGTGGTGTTTATGTCTAGATTAGATGTAATAGGCAAAGAGCAGTTGAAAGAGAGAGAGATATGAAACAGCACTGATTTCAACCCTGTAGTCGCAGCTTGAGGCCAGATAACATTTTATCCAAATAAAGAGGATCAGTGTTTATAAATAGGAGACTGTGCTGTTGCAGTACCACTAGATGGCAATGTGTGCACAGACAACTCTCAGGCCCAGGCAAGAGGCTTTGACACCTCTCCCTCTTTCACACTCTCATTTTCTCACAATATTTTTCCAGGAGATGATCCAGCATTAATACCCAACAATGGGGAATTTATCAGGAGGATTTTGTTCTCTGGTCTGTGTCAAACAATTATCAGATAGATGGAAAATAAAACACATTTTGAAATTCAGTATAATCTCTCTTTCTCTGTTTGGCACGCGCATGCATCCACACAAATAAACACATTCAAATGTTTTCACACACAGACAAATACCCACAATTCTTGCAGGATTTATCAATGTTTTATAACCTCATTTGCTTGGGAAATGTTAACAGATGGTAATGCTCTCCGAATGATTTGATTTTACACATCATGACATCACCATATGAATGTCTTTTATTGGAAAGTGTGATAAAACAGTTTGTTCTTTCCTCTCTGTTACACAATCCTGTCGTTCTCACCCACATGTAAATCTCTGTGCTTCTCTTTGTCATTTTCACTTATTTCCAAAAGGAACAACAAGAATACGGCAGCCATGTTCAAATGTTATCTTCTGAAACTGTAACTGAGGAACAAATTTACTGAACTGACAAACTGAACTTATGTAAATTGACATGTCACACTGCTCTGTGTGGCTGAGTGAAGGCCCATTACACAGCATTATTTAGCTATGACCAAGCAAAAACCAGTGATCTACTGCACAGCAGATGTGCCCATCCCCCAGCCTCTGAGCCAACAATACAGTGTTACTGTGAGATCATAGTTCCTGTGAGATTTTTCGAGCTATGATTCATAAAGTAGGAATGTTTAAAAATACCCCCAGGTTGTAAACTGAAACCTAACCCTGCCCTATATTTTAGGCAA